ATCTTGAGAAACCAGAAAAAGGAGCAAATTAAACCTAAAGTACGTTGGAGAAAGGAAATAAGAGCAGAAAGTAATAAATTAGAAAATGAAAAAACAATTCCGAAAAATTATGGAAAATCTGACTCTTTGAAGGGTTCAATAAACCTTAAGTGACACTAACGGAGGTGGGAGAGGAGAGAGAGAACACAAATTACCAATATCAGAAACAAAAGAAGAGATATCACTAGATCCTACAAACATTAAATAAGAGAATATTACGGACAAATTTATGCCAACAAATTTGAAAACTTAGACAAATTGGATGAATTCTTTGAAAGACTCAAGTTACCAAAAATGACTCAAGAATAGATAGGTGACTCTTATGAAGAAATCTAGCACTGATTCACGGAATGCCACTGAAAACCATTGGTTTGGTTCAGACGGTTATCTAAGCATATCAGTGAACCAAAGGCATAGAAGATTTGAGCAGGATTAGACTGTCCAAATAGAGCCTAACAACCTACTGAACAATGAAATATACAATTACAGTTGATGGCTACATCACCAAATAAATCTCTGAATATTTGTTCACTGACTTGACTGAAAATTTTGAGTCAGTTATTTAGGAGTTGTATAAACACAACCTTCAAGATTCAGATGTGAAGGCACTGTGGGTGGGCTTTCCCAACACCCATTCCCAGTTCCCTTCTCTGCTCTCTCTGAGCCTCCTTTGCAGCTAGATAAGAGTGGCCATATGCCACCATTCTGGCAAATGAATGTAAGCAGATGTTTGCTAAGGGTGGGGGAACATATCTTGATAAAAGGGGACGAATGTTCAGCAACCATCTGCAAGTGAGAAACTGAGACAATCCTACCATCACTCAGCAGCTGCGTCAGTAGTGACAATAATGGCCTCCCTCTTGATTTTTTTTATTGTTATATGAGAAAAATTCCCACTTCTTTAAAAGCTTTTAAGTTGGGTTTTTATTAACTTGCAATCATACACAGTCTTAATAGAAGACTATGACATATTTATATTCCCACGGCTAAGGCAAAAAGGGAGCCATCAGTTTAGTTCCTGCCTTGACTAGCTATACAAATCTTAGAACCATCTCTTAGCATCAGCGCACCTGCGTTTTGTCATCAATAGATAATAATCATAATGATAATAACTATATATTGAAGATGCTGCTGAGGGACAGAACAAACCAGAGGCTTCAGAATCTCTTGCAGCCACTGGAAAGACAGTATGCCAATACAGGAAGTCCTTACACATCAGAATGCTGAAATCTAGGCTGTGATTCTCTTTGTAGCATAATAAAACATCAGTAAGCAGCAATTTTAGCATGAGTATGAAGAGTCTTGAAATTTTTTAGAGGCACATACACTGAGAGCCAACTCCCAAAAGGATCACGAAAAGTAAATTAAGCACATTCAGTGTTTTTCCAACAGACGCCCATGACGGTATTTCATATGGAGGAATCTTTGCCTCTGTGATTCACTTTGCAAATCCTATGACCCATGTTTCTTTTCACATGATAAAACATCAGGGTTCTGCAGAAGAACTCCCTGTTCAGCAGATATTTGTGGTCAAGGTTCTGAGAAGATTTTTGCCCATAAATGGCTCACACTTTATCCAGTTAGAAAGAAATGGGAGCTCACAGAATTTCACAGGACAGCTAAGGCCCCAGCAAAGCCATGCAAACCAGTTGGGCATGCGAATAAATGGAGAAAGACACAGTCACTTACCGCTTCCAGGTGAAAAGGAGTGGTGATGAGATTGAATCCACATAACCATGGCATCTTACCTTTCTTTCTTGAAGTGTGGAGCCCTGTTAGCTCACCATTCTAACTGATGTCTTGTATAAAAAGAAAGGACCTAGCATCACCCAGCTCTGCCGCTTACTAGCTGGCTATGATGACTTCGGGGAGGTAATTTAAACATGCAACCTCCTCATATGTAAAATACAGATAATGATGACTATGACCTCTTCCTATCAGAAATAAACATTTATTGAGAGCTTACTGAATACAGAAACCTGTTAAGTATTTTAAATGTGTTAAACTCATTTCGTCATCACAATTCTGACATATTCTCTATCATTATTTTTATTGCATTTTAAATTGAAGAAATTGGAAGAAGAGTAAGAACTGTTCCTGAGGCTACACAACTGGTATGTGACAGGATTAGGTAAAAGGTTGCTGTCAGGATTGAACAAGAAAATGCAGGTAAAACTCTGCCTGGCACATAGCAGGTATGTGTCATGATACATGCTAGTTACTGTCTCTTGGTTACCTTCTGCTTGTGATGCCACCTTAGAAACAGCTACAGAAAATTTACTGAAGGTTATGAGTGGGGAAAGTGGCACAGATTAAAGTACTGAAGCTTTCTATTGAAAATTGTTAGTGGGGTAGTAACATGCTGGGTAAAGCAGTTATAGGTGTTTCCTAAGAACCCATTGAGGAAAAACAACCAGCACAAGGCAGATACAGACCCAGTGTAAATGGAGAACTAAAGTTAAGCTCAGGAGAGGAACAAATGCTGAGTTCTCACCCTGGTAGCGGGAGTTATAAATTAATGTAAAGGAGATAGCCCTGTAACAGACACTTTCCCAACCCTTCCTAAAATAATCTACAGTGGTCTAATCCTTTTGTTTTTCTTTGCCATAGCTCGAGAGTCATTGGCTATCTTTCTGCCCCACAGATAACCCCACTCTATTAATATGGACTGTTAGAACATTTTTCCATTCCCCAGGATATACTTAATGCTAATCCTGTTCTTGATTTCATCTTTAGCCAAGCTGAATTTTATGCGTCTTTATTTGTATTGCCTCCAACCCTGTTTAAAACCTTTCACTGTGTTCTCATTTTCTTAAAGATGTTTCCTGCAATGAAAAAGATTTATTCTTTAAACGAACGTCCATGGAAATAGTTTTAAAGGCTTTCTTTTCAACAACTCTCCAGCATAGCTTTCTGATGTTTTTAGAAATGGGGTTATTTGGGACTGTCTTGTGATTTGTAGCATCCTTGGAGAATGACTCCTTTCTTTCCCAGAGCGCCCTCCACCCCACCCCCTGCCCCAGTACCAAGGTGACCTGTATCTTAGCTCCATTGTCTCCTTCTTCCCCCTTGATTCTGCTCATCCTGTTCTTTTCCTGAACCATCCATCTCCCCCTCTCCTAGGTCCTCTTTTCCCACAACCCTGCAGACTTTGTCTCTTCTCTTGCTAGTCCCTCCAGCTTCCTACCATTTCATTTCCTACAGTGGTCAATTCTCTCCAATAGTGCCCTCATTTGGAGTTTCAGCTTTGTCATGACCTTAGCCCTATTACCCTCTAAGAATCCCCTCTCTAGGATAACCTAGGACCTCCTATTTGTCAAAGTTATAACCTTTCCCTGGTTTCATCCTCCTTAATCTGAGTAGCATTTGGTGACATTGAGCTACCTCATCCTTCCCGAAATTCTTCTCCTCCTCCTGGAAGAGGTGCTTCCTCCAGGGAGCAATCCTTGATTTCCCAAAACAAGATGTGACCCCCTCCTCCCTGCAAATGCATGTGTCTATGTTGTACCTGTCCTCATAGATTATAACCTCCTTGAGGGCAGGAGCCTAGTTTTATGCCTCTCCCCCAACACGCATATACAGCCTGGAGCTAACACAGTGCCAAGTTCACAGCAAGGATTCAGCAAACATGGTACGAGTACAAAAATAAACTTGGTCTCAGAATGTCAGGATACAGCTGAACGTGGCCCAAAGATGACTTTGACTTGGACTGTCTACTAATTTTTAAATATCTGAGTTAGTTATCAGCATTTTAAAACGGTGGTATTTTACATGAAAAATTCCGATTTCTTGGTTGTTTTATTTGACAAATCTGATTTAATCTCATCTGGGTCCCTATTCCTGCATGGCCACAGAAGGCAGGATCTGAGCATCTGCTGTCCCCTTGGGTGAGACTCCTGTCCTGTTTTCTGCTTCACTCATGGACATTTCCTTCATGGCCCCTCTAGGCACTTTAGTCTTGTGAACCCTTGAAAAATGAACCTGTGCAAAGGGTAAAGGTAGGACACACTCATTGGTTCAGTTATCAGTGTTCCTGTCAGCTCTGTCCTCTAGCTACCTGTCAAGAGTTCAGAAGGAATGGCAAGTTGACTCATCTCTGAGCTCCCTGTCACTGGCCTGGACCTGGAAAGAATGCTTCTTCAAGGAAGCTTTCCATGACTGCTCCTCTTGGAAAACCTCTCCCTCTTTTATACCCCTAAATCAGGATGTACAGGTAATACAGGATCCCCCTCCCTGCTCAACATGCATGCACATGCATGTGTGTGTGTACACACATCAGCTCTGGCTGTATATATGGCTCGACTTTGGCTGCCTGCTGCCAGTGTTATCCACACATAACACTCAATGCACATTGGGGTTGTTTGCCTTTATTCAGAGGTCTGTGAGTATTTGGGTGGTGAGCAGTGGAGGGGTAAGAACCTAGACAGGGACATGGAGAAGAAGAAGAAGAAGAAGAAGAAAAGGCAGCAGTGATTTAGAAAGACAGCAGCAATGATTTTGTATCTATTCTCTTAGGGATGGCCCTATGCATTGAGTGTGGCCTGTGTTGAAGAGAGAAGACCCAAAGCTGACACCAGTGTCCAGAGGGGCTTTGAGTAGAGCTTCTCTCATGGCCCAGAAGACACAGAGCAGCCAGAGGCCCAAGACAGTCCTTTCTGGCCTTTGCAAAGAACGTCTGCACTTCCCTCTGCTCAGAGGCCTGGAGGGTTTGGATGAGGGGAGATGGCACGCTTGGCCTGGGTGGTGGGCTTCTTGTGATGAGTCATCACTGTAGGGAGACTTGACATGCTGAAGGCAGTGTAGATGTCAGGGGGCAGAAGAGGAAGAACAGAGCAAATGTGCATGGTAGCAAGCTGGTTGGAAGCACTTGTGAAGCACCTTTGGGGGCTCCCAGGAGTAAACTGGGGCTCTCTGCTTAGGTCCCACCACTAGACAGATGGAAGCTACCATGTCATTAGACATTGATTTACAAGTATTTATGTTCACATCTCTATTCACTGGGATATAAAGTTGGCTTCTTTAACAAAGAGACCTAAGTCAAAGTCATTTACATTAACAGTTGCCTTCTCTCTCAGGTAGATGTCCAGGGACATGGTCCATGCTTGCTATGGCTGCTTTATCATCATCAGAGCCCAGGTTCCCTCTATCTTGCTGTTCTGCCATCCTCAAAATGTGGCTTCTATCTCATGGTTCTTCAGGGAATCTCCAGCTCCTGCCATCATATCTGCTTCCATGTAACAGGAAGGAAAAGAAGGGGAAAGCATGGGGACATCACTTCTTTTTAAGGCATAACTATATCTTACACAGATCACTTACATCCCATAATCCAGAAAGTTGTTATAGGACCACCTCTAGCTGCAAGAGAAGCTGGAAGATAGTGTTTGGCTTGATAACCATGTACCCAGTTAAAAATTCTATTACTTTAGAAGAACAGGAGAATGAATATATTAGATTTCAAATACAAGTTTCTTCCAGAGCATCTGTCTCCACTAGACCAGAAGCTCATTGAAAATCAGGGCTTTAGCCAACCCTGATTCCACCAAACACTAGTGTAATATGTGCACATAGTTGACAGACCATAAACCAGAACTGCCATGACGTCCTGTTCTTGCTACTCCATCACTACGGGCTGGTCACAGTGGGTAGTACGCGTACCTGCAATGAAAGCTAACCCTCACAGAATTGATGCCTTCTCTGCCATTTACTTGCTGTATGTGTCTGAGCAAGTCAGCCTGGACCTAAGTTTCTTCATCAGTTCAGGGGGAATAATAATACCTACCATGATAGGGTTGTGAAGATTAAGCGTATGTTTAGTACCTGGTACTCAGTTAGCATTCAATAAGTGGTTTAAAAAAATTAGACCATCCCATGGCAATGTCAGTGACAGGCCACATGCAGAATTTCAGTCTCTCTGGGCAGTGCATACAGCTGTTGCTGAGGACAACAGAATAGTTCCAGGTGGGTGTGTACTTGCTTGAGGCAATGATCTGTATAAATGACCAAGGAGAGAACTCACCTTAGGAAACCAATAGTCTGAATTTCTCCACCTATCTGTAATAAGACTTTTTCTCAGCATGGCCTTTTTGCCAGTACCAAGAGAGATAGGTACTGGGAATCCTCTTCCCTCATGGCCTAAGGGAACTGGGGGGAAGCAAACAGTGTTGCAATTAAAGGTTTCTCTGTGCTGTGGAATTCCAATCCTGCCAAGGGGCCAAGAGGCTCATTGCATAAGGTTCTCCAGCCCACCCAAAGGGCTTCTCCTGTTCCAAACAATAAGAATTCTTGGCTGAAGTGCTGCAGACACATAGTGTGGGAACTAACTCAAGGCAGTTGACTCGTTTCTTTCCCTTCAGAAGGGCGAGAATCTAGACCTCTCTCTAAATCACTTAGAGTCATAGTACTGATCATACAAGCACCTTTCCCAAGGTATGGATAAAAATAACTATGTGGCCTTGAACATGTCACCTGCAGGGACAAGAGTCACACTGACAAACAGTGTGACATGGGAAAAGCATGGGACTGAGGCAGCCTTTGGATCAAGTCTCAGTTTCACCACTTAAATGGGAGATTTGGGGCAAGCCCTGTAGCCTTGCAGAGTCTCAGTTTTCTCATCTGTAAAGTGGAAGCTACTTCATGCCAGTGATCCATCAGGGTGGTGTGAGGGTTCAAGGAAATGAGGTAGTGAGTGCTTGTTAAATGGCACCTATTAGTATTCTCTCTTTTCATTTTCCCATCAAATTCTATCCTGCCTCCTGTTGCCTCAAGACCCAGATGTGTGATCATAAGGATATTCCAAACATGTGGCAGTTCCTAGTATCAGACAGGACTGCGGGGACAAGACAAAGAGCAGAGGGGACTAAAAACAAAAATAAAATACCTTCAAATCATAGCCATACAGGATTCTCCTTAGGACCATCATTGGTCCTGGGTGTCCTCACAGCAGCCCCATCGGCCTCCTGCTAGAGTTGCTGTGTCTGCAGAGGAGTGGGTCTGGCACATGTTCTCAGACGTTATACTACAGCTGGGAGAATGTGGCCCATCAGCCAGCTCTGTCTTCACCACCACCCCTAGGGCCCTCGCTCCTTTTTATCTGTAAACTCTCCAGCACAGGAAGCCATGCGCTTATTGACCTCAATATCCTCTTTGGCAGAGTTATCCCACGAAAAATTATGAGTGCAACTGGAATATTTTGAAAATATTAATCTGATATACTTTGTTTGTCTTTAGTCTGTGAATTAGAAGTTGGAGCCTTAAGCTTATTACTCAGAAAGAGAGGGTGGTTGCTTCTAAAAATAGCAAAAATAGTTTTTCCATAGCCCATTCTTGGATATTGGTTTCCACATTAGAACATTCCAAAGTATAGAATGTGTTATTTATTTATTTTTAAAGCAAGGCCATCTGGCTCAAATGCCAATGCCTAAGAAGACAAATCCTTCATATTTCCTAGTTTCCTCGTAAGAGAAAACAGCGTCACAGAATAGGCGCCCTGCTGAGGGTCCTCTTCTCCACCCATACTAGATTCCTTCACTCTCTTCTCTGGTCTCATTGCTTTTGCTGTACTATTCTTCTACCTATCTTTACTTTCTCTTTGCCTGGTCTTTTGTTTTATCCTTCTTTCAAGACCCAGCTCAAAATCCATCTTCAAGAATAGCTTTATTGAATAGCTTTTTTTTTTTTTTTTTTTTTTTTTTTTGAGACAGAGTCTTGCACTGTCGCCAGGGCTGGAGTGCAGTGGCACAATCTCGGCTCACCGCAACCTCTGCCTCCTGGGTTCAAGCGATTCCTTCTGAGTAACTGGGATTACAGGCGCCTGCCACCATGCCCAGCTAATTGTTTGTATTTTTAGTAGAGACGGGGTTTTACCATTTGGCCAGGCTGGTCTCGAACTCCTGACTTCATGATTCGATCGCCTCCACCTCCCAAAGTGCTAGGATTACAGGCATGAGGCACTGCCCCCAGCCTATTGAATAGCTTTTCATTGTACAATTATTTTATATACTGCTTCAGATTTAGGAAGAAGTTTGAAAGATGTTCATTTTATAGTTGTCTAGTTCTGCTATATGCATCTACACCTAGAACAACAAGAGTAATTGTACATGTGATAAAATAGAAAACAATATAGGTACAATCCAACCTTATTAATTGGACATTTCATTCTAATTAAATGGATGTTACTCTATTAGGTAGATAAAGTGACTGAGACAGAGGTTGCCAAAAATTAATTGTTTCCTTTTGAAATGTAGCAAAACATACCAGTTGTTAGAATAATTAACTGGGAGACCATTAGGCTGAGATGTCTCCAGCACCTTGGGTTCTTATATAAGCAAACCAAACCCCAACTTAATTTAAACAGTAAAATAAAACTTAAGGTTAACCAATCAGAAACCACCAACTAACCTCTAACTAGAGGCTTTACTAATTAGAAGCTACCAAGTAACCTCTAACTAGGGACTCTCAGCTTTAACCAATCAAATAGTTTCATTATCTGGCTTTCACAAACACCTAATGAAATGTCCTCTTGCGCCCCCTTTGGTGGAGCACTGAGCCACTTGTGATCTGGCACTGCCCAATTCATGAATCACTGAATTCAAAGAAACTCATTAAAATTTTAATGTGCCTAAGTTTATCTTTTAACACAATCAGCCAACAAACAAATATTCCATCAAGATACATTGCTTCTAATTGTTCTGTGGGCAGGTCACTCTGACCCTTAAAGTTGATCAACATGGTGATAGCGCATTTCTCATCAGTATTCTGAACTGGCATAACCCTGGCCAAGTAGCACTGGGCATAAAGGCAAGAATCCTCTTTCTTAGTCTAAGAGCAAAACCTCATGCCTGTAGGGGAAAAAGCAGCATATTGTAGGCAAGGCAGAACCGAGAGTACATTTTAGTTCTTGTCACTTTAGCTTCCCCTTGGGGTGCGTATTTAGGCAAAGTTAATGAACGTTTGTCACTCAATAAATCATCTATTCTATATATGTCTCCCAAGCATCCAGTTCTCTGGATCTTTTCAATATTTTCAAAAATATGCAAAGATTCCACAAAAATTAAGACATTTCAAAAGCTAACACTAAAGACATTATTACATTATTTTGAGAAATTCATAGAATTTAGTCACCAAATTCAAAGGGGCAGAAGGCCATCCTAGAACAGCTGGACTTGATCACACTGGGGCTCAGAACACGATACCCCAAAGCATGGTGTTTTGGTGTGCTAAATTCTTTGAACTGAAGAAAAATAGAAACACTCCAGAATTAAAGTCTTTCTGACCTTCTCCTATCCTGTCTCCTGCCCCTCTTCTCCACCCCAATGCCACCCCTCTCAAAGCAAAGTAAGTCATAGAAACCAGAATTCCTCTTTCCCAAGGTGGGCTATAGAAACTGGAACTCCCCTCTCGCAAAGCAAGCCCCCAAACCTAGAAAAGTCACTCTCTCCCTTCAAGACCCTCATTCCAGAGGGGCCCTGCCCCTACAGGAGGCGGGAATGCTGCAGAGAGATGCCAAGAAGAATCTAAACAAATTTGCTGGGTTTCCCCTGCCCTCCTCTCAGTCTACCACCATTAAACCTACCCTTTTGTCCAATCACATTTCTACAGGGCTGTCCATTCTTCATGGAACCTAACTCTATTAGTCTGTTTTCACACTGCTTATAAAGACATACTTGAGACTAGGTAATTTACAAAGGAAAAAGGTTTAATGCACCCACAAGCCCACATGGCTGGGAAGGCCCCACAATCATGGTGGAAGATGAAGGAAGAGCAAAGGGATGTCCTACATGACTACATGCAAAGACGGCTTGTGCAGGTGGACTCCCATTTATAAAACCATCAGATCTCGTGAGACTTAGTCACCATCATGAGAACAGCACAGGAAAGACCCTCCCCCATGATTCAATTACCTCCCATCGGGTCCCTCCCACTATGCATGGAAATTATGGGAGATACAATTCAAGATGAGATTTGGGTGGGGACACAGTCAAACTGTATCACTAACCACAAAAATAGACAGGCTTCCCTGGGTCTTTGGGTCTTTACTTTTGAAGGCTTCCATATCACCTAAAACTTTGAATACATTTGTTATGCTTTTCTCCTGCTAATCTGTCTATTATAGGAATGTCAGCTGTGACCCTTGTGATAAGCGAGGAAAAACATCGCATTTTTCCCCTATAATTATGAGATACCAAAGTTCTCAGATAATTGACTTGTGACTGAGGTCTGATAGTGCTTCTACTCCAGACATTAGTAACCAGACTAGCATTTTTGGATTAGGTCCCTTCTTTTAGAGAGACCTCATCTGTCACGCCTACAGGATTTTCCAAATCTTTGCTCATCTGCTGGGACTTTCTGAGGTATTTTAAGTTTCTTTTTTCTTTGGCCCAACCCTTTGTAGGAATATGTCCTTCTCAAGTTTTAGCATGTTTAGTTTATTTTTTGTACATCTTTTACAAGGGGTCACCCTTTTTATTTTTTAAATTTATTTTTAATTATTATGGACACATAATATGGAGTACATGTGATATTTTGATAAAGGCATACAATACGTAACAATCAAATCGGGATAATTGGGATATCTATAACTATAGCCTTGGCTATAGTTAACAATAGCCAACAGAAAAGCTATAGTTAACAATTTATTGCATTTAAACATTTTACAATTTTGATTCTATGTGACCTTTTTCATTTCTTTACCTAAGCCCTTGATGTAATTAACAATCAGTAACTCCCTGTCAGATGTGTCAGTGACTATTTCATTCTCCACTGTATGGGTGCTCTTAGAAGTGGTTGTCTTAAGGTATTGTTCTACAGATTCAGAACTTAATCCTTTTGAGAATAGATGAGCATGTTTAACAACATAATGCTAATCATTTCATTGAGTCTTCTCCACGGTCTACATCAGGGCCTCAGTCAAGTGACCTCTGTCTCTTATCTATCCTCTGTTTTTGGAGATGGGCCAGTGGCAACAGGTATAAGGTTGCTGTGTGCATGTTTCTTAAACTTCCTGGAGTGAAAGGCTGACTGACTGTTAGACAGGCCTAGGTATTTTAAGTCCAGCATTCATAGGATCCAGGAAACAGGCAGAGATCAGTTGGATTTCAACAACCTGGCATGCCTGCAAATCACTGACACCATCAGAGATGCTAGTGGAAATCTGAGACATAAATAGGAGCATATAGAGTTATTTAGAAAATAATTCCCCCATCCAAATTATATTGCTGTTATTCTTTCTCAAAGCATGCTATTCTATCAGTGCATTTAGAAGAATTCTAATGATATGGTTGAGTCCCTATTTGTTATGTTCATCTCCTTACCCACCAGGAAGCTCCAAGAGAACAGGCATCACATTATTATTTTTTGAGATATTTACCCACATAAAAGTAATCTTAAGTATACAGGGCAATGAATTTTTATGTAGACACCCATGTATTCACCACCTAGGTTAAGATGGAGACCATATCTACTACTCCAGAAGGTTCTTTCATGTCACTTTCCAGTCTATATTCCCCATTCTAGAGGTAACCACTATTCTGATTTTATCACTATAATTTTTCCTGTTCTTGAACTTCATGTAAATAGAAACAGTATGCATATTCTTTTGTACTTGACTTTTTTACTCAACATAAATGTTTTTGAGGTTCATTTTTTCTATGTCTCTAACATTTTTTCCTACTGGTTGCTAGTATCCCACTACATGAATACACCACAATGTGTTTACCCTTCTCTTGTTGATAAACATTTGAGTCACTTATACTTTTAACCACCATCAAGAAACCTGCTATGAACAGCCTTACAGAAGTCTATGATACACACCTTCATTTCTTTTTTTTTTTTTTTTTGAGATGGAGTCTCGCTCTGTTGCCCAGGCTGGAGTGCAGTGGCGCGATCTCGGCTCACTGCAAGCTCTGCCCTCCTGGGTTTACACCATTCTCCTGCCTCAGCCTCCCGAGTAGCTGGGACTCACAGGCGTGAGCCACCACACCTGGCAACACCTTCATTTCTTTGGGTATATACCTAGGGTGAATTCCTAAGTCATAGGGTAGACATATATTTAACTTTAGTGTATAGTGCTAAGTAGATTTGTCCAATATAGTTGTACCCTTGTATACTTCCTTCAGCTGTGATTGAGAGTTCTAACTGCTCCACATTCTCGTCAGCACTTGGTGTTGTCCATCTTTGTGGTTTTAGCTATTCTATTCAGCATGTTGTAGAGTTTCTATTTGTATTCCCCTTATGAGTAATTTATGTTAAATGAAAATCTCTCAGGACAATCCTTTTTCCCCCACAATCTGTAAGCAGAACTACTTGTTGACAGAGCAGAAGTTAGCATGGTTAAATATAAATGCAGGTATGATAAAGTCTGTTTCCTATGTCCTGCTGGCTTAGTTTTTAAGAGCTGTTTGTTTACTCTCAAAGCAAAGCATGCCGTGCACAGTGGCTCATGCCTGTAATCCCAGCACTTTGGGA